CTCTTCACTTTATATGTCTATGTGTGTGCTATATGTTTTTTTCATACGAAACTAGAATATTAAACTCTCTATATTTCTGCAATCACGAATGTTTCTACATGCAACAAATATGTTCAATTTGATTGTAAATTCGCTTAAAATGGATAATCTTGAATATAATTCCAAAATTTTTTAAACCGATCGAATATTTCGTTGCGATATATATTTGATTATATGAGTTTCATTTTGTTTTTTAAAAAAATTTCATTCTATTCTAATGCTTAACAAACCGGTTGTAGTATGCATTTAAGGTTAAAATTATCAATTTATTTCTTTATAATAGAAGAATAAATGAAATATGTATTTTCAGATTGTAATTATAGTTTCTATTTAACAACGATTTTTTTCTTTGCTTTCAAAATTTTTTTGTACTAATAACTTACTTTCTACAACAGCTTATAAAAAAGTTGTTTTGTTCACAACATCTATATAATCAATCAACTTTACAAAAAATTGTAGTCATCCCAACCAAACACTTTATGGAGGATCCATAAGGCTGGCCGACAGCTCTTCGAGCCAATATCATTCCTTTCAAAATCTCTCATATTTATTAAAATGCATTAGTTTTGTTAATCTCATAAATGACTATTTTACCATGTTGAAAAGAAATATTTACGATTTTTGTGATTTTTTCCTTATTAAAAATAATATATTTTAGGTTGATGATACTTTATAATTTAAAAATAAGCTCTAATCAGATGTTATCTGAATATTCTCTTGACTTTATGGTGTTTAAAATTCAGATTAGCACCAGTTTTAACAGTAATTAATTACAAGTCGTCTTGTCAAGCAGTAGAATGCTTTTTTTACAACAACAACAACAACAACATCAAGCCTTTATCCCACTACGTGGGGTCGGCTACATGAATCCTTTTTCTCCATTGTGTTCTATTAAAAAAAAAAGAACAATAAATCATAAAATCTGCAATTTAAATTTATGATATATCAGTTTTAAATATATATTAGTTTTATTGCACGTGTATTAAATATCTATGTGAATAAAAATTTTAAAAAATAAAATTTCATATTATAAATATTTAAATCTTATGAATATTTAAATAATATTATCAATGCTAAGAAGAAAAAATTATTAGGATTAATTATCACTATAAGTAACAAAAATTATTTATTATATTATTATAACTATTAATTTTCTTTATTTTATCTATATAGGTGCAAATACACAATGAGCATATTGCATGTTATTCTAAAAAGCAAAGAAAATTAACTAAAAAGTATAACTTGATTGATCAACACAATTAGATACCACAAAGAACTAACAGAGTTTAATTTCAAATTAATTTACAAATTGGGTAGACCTAAATATTATATATTAATAAAGATTATTGCAATTCTTAAATTCACGATGCCATGCTTCGGATTAGGTGCTGATGATGGACGACAACTTTGTTGATGATGGTGTGCATCGGTGCTGCTATTTGATCAAGTTTCTAATTATCCTTCAATTGTTTAATTTAGGTTCATTTGGAGACGAATCAGACTGTTTTTGCTGTCGTTAAATTCCTATTATCGATATGTTTACGTAGGCTTTGAAATCACTAAAAATAAATGATAATGACTATGACTCCAAAAATTTTAGTTCAAATAGTGTATTGATAGATAATTTCATAGAAGATCCAATGTAGTGGATCGACAGGCTACTAGAAGGAATTCCTAATCCAAGGAACAAACACAAGCACTAAGCTTCAAAAGAGTATAATTCATCAATGTCTCTATCTTCTTACAACAATCTATATATATACTAATCAAGTAGAGAAACCTAGAAGATTCTAGAAACATGTAACAAACGAAATCAGACATCCTAAGGAATATTTAAGCTAAAATGCTCCACATCATTATCCCCTTGCGTTAAAAGAGCTCAACTCTGTCGAGGCTAGTTATATGTTGGGAGATAGATGTAGAAATTATAATCAATCCTCAATCTTGGATCAAAGATTTTGAATGCCAACAAAAGATTTTTCCATATATCTCCCTCTGCTATTCTGCTTCCACAACCTCAATCATACTTATCCGCAATTCTTCCTCCCTCATCACCCATATGTGATCATACAATGTATTTGTAGTTATCACTCTAAAGTCTTTATAAAAATCAAAGAGTTCAGCCAGAGCAGATGTTGATTTAGCTAGAGTTTCCTCCTTTGTAGAACATGATTTTTTTATCATTGTTTGTATAGCATCATTTGTTGTACTGTCATCATGCGTTATATCACTAAATAGCAATACAAAAAGTAATCTTCGTAAAACATCCATGGCATGTATTTTTTATTTAGGTTGTTCGTGCAACAATTTCTTTTCTACTTACTTCTATAGCTTCGTATTGCCTTCCAAGCTTTCCTTTGTTAGCTACCAGATCATCAAACAAGTCATCTAATTCATTCTCACACATCTCGCTATGTTGAATTGTGAAATCACCATTCTTCCTCCTTACAGATAACTTAGAGGGTGATATTGAGCTTTCATCAATAAAGAATCCCTTATCAAAACAAAACTCATCCCCACGAAGTGAAGGCAAAGAAGCATTCCTTCTAAAATACCATTGCAACAAGATTTGTTCTCACAAACTATCATTTGTGATAATAATTTGTGAGACCATACCTTATCAGGACGAAGGATTTCATCCATTGTAATGTAAAGTAGTGTATCATATCTTGCCCTTTCTTTATTGTCTTTAACATAAGCTACAAGTGATGCAGGGATGAGGACCAACTGAATCACTATTTACTGATTTTTTGGAAATCGAAACCCGAACCCGACCCGTTTGTTAAACGGGTCGATCCTAACCCGAATTTTCCTGGTCGGGTTGTCAGGTCGGGTCAATAATTGACACCCCTAAAACTAGTCATCTACTTCATTCTCACATCCCGCTATGTTGAATTGTGATATCACCATTCTTCTTCCTTGGGGAATCTCCAACATAAAACCCCAATTTTCACTCTAAAATGGCGGAAAACTTCAAAATGCCGCAATTCATCTCCAATAGAACTCAATTTCTCTTCTTTCCATCGCTAAAAACATCTATCTTGTTTCACACCTTTCTTGTGAAGCTAAAAAAAATAGAGTTATTTTTTTTGCGTAGGTGAACAGTCTGACGCTAATAATGTATTAGCGTCAGACTGTTCACTTGCATGACATTGGCGTATTTTTTGGCGATCAATTGGAGCAAAAAGCCACTCCATACACCCGAATGCAGTTCGGCTGGAGAAGCTCTTACAGATAACTTAAGAGGGTACTATTGGGCTTTCATCAACAAGGAATTCCTTATCAGAATAAAACTCATCCCCACAAAGTGAATTCAAAGAAGCATTCCTTCTAAAAATACCATTGCAACATGATTTGCTCTCACAAACTATCATTTGTGATAATAATTTGTGAGACCATATCTTATTAAGAAGAAGGATTTTATTCATTGTAATGTAAAGTGGTGTATCATATCTTGCCCTTTCTTTAGTGTCTTTAACATAAGCTACAAGTGATGCAGGGATGAGGACCAACTGATTCACTATTTATTGATTTTTTGCATCTGTAGCTCTTTGGAAAAAAAGACACTAAAGAAAGGATTATTTGTAATTTGCCCCCTCGCCCCTAAATCTTATTTTTTCCCCCTAGCTGACCTTATTTTCACGCAATTTGCCCTAACAAAAATCGGAAAGCCCCTTGGCCTCCTACTATTTTCATCAAATTATGTTGAACTTTTCTAACACTAACAAACAAATCTGTGAAAAATGATTATGTGCAAAATAAATTATTTTTGTACCCTTATATATATTTTTTATTTTTATTTTTATAAATTTATCACTTGCCCCACCTGAGAACTAAGGCTAGTTCCGCCTCTGATGTCACGCGACTAACAACCATGAATAGAGCTTTGGAAATCTCCATAACTCTCATTTTTCTTGTTATTGATGAAAATACTCCTTGAATGTGTAGAAAATTGTCCTATTTTTATAGATTTCATTAGAGAATATATGATCATATATATCATAATCTTAGATGCTCTATCGGATGATTTAAGTCATTTATAATATATTAATTAAACAGTTTATAACATGAATTAAAGCATAATTAATTTTGAGAGGGTAATAATAAAAATGTAAAAGATAATGGATGAGATAAAAATAGAAAAAAATCATCAAATATAAGGTTGTTTGGACAACTTTTGGCTAATATTTTTTTCATTGTTTTTTTAAAAAAATTGCACTAAAAAAATTAATTTAGAAAGCAATGAGAACCTTGTCCCAAATGAATCATTAGTAATTTTATGATACTAATTTTCCAAGTCTCAAGATCTAATCATGAAAAATCTCTATTTATAGGATGATTCAAGTGATGAAATCTGAAAAAAAAAAATCCAAAAAAAAAAATCAAAATGATGGAATTTCATTTTTTTTTTTTTTTTTGGGCTCTATGAGATGCTAGAGGAAGATTTAGAGGTGTAATTGAGTCAAGCAGCTCGATAGATGACTCGTAAATCGAGCTCAATGAACTAATGAATTAAACTTGAGCCAAATCTAACTCAACTAATCAGCTCATGAACCGGCTAGTTTAAAAAAATTAATTTAAAATTCTCTTAAAATATATTAAATTCACGAGTTAAATTAATAAGCTATTAAAATTATTAAAAAAAACTTATTTATTATTTTTATCATTTTATCACAACAATTATTTGAATAAACTTTATTTCAAGTAAATAAAATAGATCGTAACTCGTCAGGCAACTAGAGCTCTAGCTAGCTCAAGACCATGCTTGGTTCGCTAATGATTAGGTGATTATATTAAGATTAATATCAATTTTTTAGAGTAATTAATTACAAGTCGGCACGTCGTCCAACGGTTGACTCATTGACTGTCGGCTGTTTCACACATGTAAGTAATAAAGTCGCTATTAGCCTGATCTTAATTAGGATTAATAGATAATCAATGACCTTAAGAGAGACAGATCATGATTAATTATTGTCGAATAAGCTGAAATGAGCTCTGCTCATCAAATAATTGCGAACACAGCATAATTTAAGTATCATATTAAAGCGTAAACAAAAGAAAATTAAGTTTAATTACTTTCCCAAACATCAAAACTGAAACAAAAAAGAAATTAATCGGAGATCGGTAGATAGAGAAAGCGAAATTAACTAATGAAGATCGACTTTGCACTGCATCTTCCCCAACTTCTTAAACAGTAATTAAGGGCTTAACTAATCATTAAGCCTAATTAGCAGCGTTTGGCAGGACGAACGAAGAACCTCATGAGGCCTGTGGAGCAATGGAAGCCTTGTTTCTCCCCACAGACGAAGTAATAAGTCTTCCTCTTACTGAGAACAAACTCGAATCCTTCTCCTCCTCCTTGCATCACATTCCCAACCAGCTGCGCCCTCTTCAAATCACAGGCAAGAAATTTTGGCAAATCTTTCACTAAATATACACTGTGAGCGTGTGTTGTGCTGTTTGGAGGATCATATTTGAACACTGCATTCGTGAAAAGCTCTAAGTAGAATTTCTGGTTCCTTTATATCATGAGCAAAATTACACTGAAAGATGAAAAATATGCACAGATGATGTATCTTGATTCAAATTTATGAAGTTCAGATCACAATCTGCCCACAAAATCCTCTCAAATGTGGTGATTTAGATCAAATTTTCATGTAAAAGTGAGTGAAAAATGAAATTTTGGTTTTCTATCTACAAGCAATTACTTAGAAGTTCAGATTGACTACTTTATGTTTTCCAAAGTTGTGTTTTTCTCACTTTTATTGCTATTTCAACATCTATGCAAGTCAATATTTGAAAAACGAAGTCTTATATATACAGAAATTTTGGTAAGAAAATCTAGAGGTTTTCCCATATAGCAATTCTTTTCAGTCTTTCAAGAACAGAAGTACAAAACTACTTCATTTGCAATTCAAATCTGCTTAAGCAAGCATGATGATGAAGAATGATGATGATGATGATGATGATGATGATGGGCTTACCAAGGGTGTCATTGACATGGAATGGTGCAGTTTTGAGAGCCCAATCAGTGTAGTTGAAGCCAAATGTCCAGTTCGCAGGTCCTCCAACATTAATCTTAGCAGCAAACACTGTTCTCGAAACATTGCAAGAGAAGAGAAGGAGAAAGAAGGTTCCAACCAAGGAAAAACCAGCTCCCTGAAACTTTCCTGCCATTGATGAGCTTAGCTGATTAGATGCTGTTTGTTGAGATACAGAAAGGAGGGCAAATGACTGGGCCTTTTATAGTTGAGATTGAAGAAATTTTGGTATAGAACCTATAAGAATATTTGTAATAGAATTGCTAGTGGGAATGCTATGTGTAGCACAGTAGTCCAAGCTAGATTTAGTGGGAATCTCTTTTTCTAAGCAGTTTATAGGTGGTTTAGTAATAATACTGATAATTAAGTCATAGCAGTAGGTGAAAACCACTATAAGTCTCTAAAAATCAACCCCCACTAAGATTTTTTTAACTATATTTATTTTTTAAGTAATCGTTGTCACACAACAGTAATCTCCATCTATGCCTTCTCATAACTTATTGTGAAGAAATTCAACCAAAGAACAAAAACTTTTTTCTTCAATTGAATGACTTGTTATTAGTGAGTGGTGGGGAAAGGGTAGAAATTGACTAATGGAGTGTTCACAATATCAAATTTTCTAATTTAAATGAGTGATTCAACCCTTACATCATATCTTATCTCATTATAAGAATTATCTTAAGAAATGGATTAAATATTATGTGCAGATGCCGAACGCCGTCCGAAGACCAATCAAAATGCGCCACATCACCCATGTGCTCGGTATCGCCGCTCAGTATTGCTTGGTACCGCTCAGAACCGCGGCTCGATACTGCTGATGTGGCATATTGTGGTTGATCTCCGGACGACGTTCTGCCTCCAATTGCACATAATAATTTCTCGAAGAAATGCGCATAAATTAAAGTTTATTTTTTTTCATGAACATCACATCATTCTACAGCCAACTTTCTGCTCTGAATTGTCAAAATTTTTTACGGAAGTAGCTTAAGCATTTATTAGATCAACTGTATATTCTGATGCAGAATTGATTAAATTTATTGTGCAGCTGGTTTGCATTGAAGTGCTGAAGGTGATCAAAGTTATATTTGATACGTTATCAAAAAATTTATCTTGATCGGGCACGAATCTCGATGCAAAAATCAAGCGGGAAACTTTAAAAATTAAATCCGGGGGCACCAAAACTCCGATTTCAACAAACTTATAGTCAAACTGAGCATCTAGGAAATACGAACCCAACGACACTATATTCGACTCAATCCGAGCCCAAATGAGTTCAAATCAAGGACCCGAAGCACCGTTGGAAAGTTTGTACCACAATTTGTGTTACCAAACGGTCTCTGAACTTGATGAGCTTATATTCGAATCGAGCGGCTCGACGAGACGATTCCAACGAGCACAAGATCGCCGAATTCCAAAGTCATTAAGATTTTCAAATATCTAATAAACGGTCCACAATCAAGGAATTCAACATCGGCCGTCCATCCAACCACTCCCCATTTATCCTTGATCTCTCACCTATTTACGAGTCATGTCACTCCAGAAATCTATAAATAGACCCCTCATTTCTCTTGAAGGGGGGGAAGCAATAAGAGAAGAAGGAAGAAGGAAGAGAAGTAAGAAGCTCCTCCTCGACCACCGTCAGACTTCTGTCGGACCACCACTTGAGGCCCTCACCTCCGTCGGACCACCGCTCACCTCCGTCGGACCACCGCCTGACGCCGTTGCTCTGCCGGATCACCACCAGAGGTCCTTATCTCCGCCGGACCACCACTTGAGGCCGGACTTCTGCCAGGCCACCACTTGATGCCGCGAGTACTCTCGAAGTACCGCCCTTCTACTACCGTCTTTCAGACCCATGTCTCATGCCAACTACAGTCCTTCTGACCTGTATCACCTACTATGATCCTTCTGACCTCCATCACCAGACAACGGTCTTTCCGGCCTCCAACCTATCAACTATGATCATGCCGACCAAACAAACATATCTATGTAACTCCCACCATGTAATGTGCTCTATATGACGTACCTTTGTGACATCATGCCAAGGCCTTCTCCTAAGGAAGGACCTCAATTGTAATCGTTAACAAATAATAGTGGATTCATTCAAACTGGCTAGGCCCCATGGTTTTTCCCCCAAGGGTTTTCACGTAAAAATTTTGGTGTCTCTTATGAACACTACACCCTCTCTCTTATATGCTTGTGTGCTGGATCTTCGTACAATGCTAAGATGTTAAACAATATATTTCTCTACCGCCGCGAATACTCAACGACGCAAGAATATTAAAATCAACCACTTGAAATTACCATCAGCTTTATATTTTGTCCCATCATATACTTATTATGCACAGGTTTAAATCCATTCAATCAAATATTTGTCAGCATTATGCTCAACATATTCAGCAGTCAATCTCGCTATCACTAAATTTAAGTGATCAAATCAGATGAAAAGGAATGGCATGTTAATGGAATGTGAAATTATTTGAATGAGTATAAAAATAACGCATGACTTTAAATTTTTTTTTTTTGTTTGATTTGAAGATAAATGAATGCAATGTAAGGTGCAAAGAAGTTATAGTTGGGGTAGCTGATGACTACCCGCGACAGAAGGGGTCGTCGATCGATGGTGGTGGCTGACGATGGCGGCGGCAGCGGTGGAAGGGGGTGACTGGTGGCGGCGGCGGGGGATGACCAACTGCAGTGAATGCCAGTGGTGGCAAGTTGCAATGGCAATGACGGCGCATTAACGATGTATATGAAAATCGCTCAAATCTAAGGAATTCTAAATACATCTGAAACACGTAATTTAGATTATATGGAGTATACTCCTTTTACACCCTCCTCTCCTTTTACTTTAAATCAAAATTCAATACTTTTAAAACCCCTACATTGAAAATACTATACATCTTAAATACTGAAAACCAAACATCCCCTTAAAATATGGAATAAATCCTTGTATATAACCCTAGTTGACCTGCAACCTCACATATCCATTGAAAAGATTGCTATCTTTGCTTTCTCATTACATATAAAATCTTCGCATGAAACATGCAAACATTATATCATTACACCCAACAACCATCGCCCCAGCTGATCAACCACCCTCTGCACTCTGCAGGATGTGAACGCCCCTTTGAGCAATCAATTTAGATTCTTCAGTTGCTGAAAATTTTTCTAACTTTTTGTTGACATTGTCATCCCAATCTAGTGGCAATACTCCTTACATTTTTCAAGCAATAAATGCATAATCTTGTATAGAGCATAGTAAATAATATTTAAAATATTTAATGGTAAATTATTTTAAGTGAAAATTTATTTCGCCGCAACCAAGCTATTTTATTGCCACCAAATATTGGTCAAGCGATCTTAAGACTACTACCGCTGTTGTTAGCCACCGATAACCACTATCTTGGGGCTTTACACTGCATTCATTTTATTTTTAGCCAATAAAAAAGTAATCTCATACATTACTTTTACACTCATGAATATGAACAATATCAAACATTTCAAATACATTATATTCAAGCTTCGTTTGGGACAGCTTTCTTTCTGCTTCTTAAAGTAGCTTTCTAGTACAAAATTTTTTAATTTTGTACTAAAAATCTGCTTGAAGAAGCATAAAGAAAGTCATCCCAAACGAAGCACGAAGCCTCATTTTTCAACAAATCAAATAGCCCCCCTTAAGCTAACAAAAGTATGTTTTTTATATAATTGCTAGTGTTATACCAAATGCTACGTACATAAATCCTCCTAGAAATAAATATTTGAGAATAAGTTTGGCTTATTTTGCAAACCATACCAGTCCTTATCTACCATCAGACTACAAATTTAGCTGGAAGGTTCAAACGCACATTTATTTTCTACTTTAATAACTTATAAAAATAATTAAACATTTATTTTCCACTTTATTCCATTGTCCAAGCCTCCAAAATTAAAACTAATAAACAAATTAAGAATTTATTTGAGACAGCTATAGTATTTTAAAAAATTAATTGTAAAATTCATCTGAATACTGCTTTAATTGCATAAAATAGTTTTTCATCATAATTAAAAAAATAGTGAGAAGATAGCAAAAAATTAATAATCAAATAAAATTATGATAGTTGGCAAAAGAATCAGAAAGAAAGATGTCACAAATAAACCTTAAATTTCTAATGTCCCATAACACTCAAAACAACAAATATAAGCCTAAGAAATTTTTTGCCTTCCTATATTGTTTCTTGCTGGCAGATACATTGTGTTTGTTTTTTGGAGCTCTCCGATTTTTTTTTTCTGTTGGTCGGGCAATGATGTGGTTGGGGCTCGCTTCTACGTCGGCATGGCTCGTGGCAACCTTTGGTGTAGATCTCTTGTTCGGTTGGGTTGGCTGCTTCGCGTTTCTATTCACCTAATTTGACGGTCTGAGCTTGGCTTAAGGGAAGCTAGAAGTCTCGGCCAATTACTGAGCCCTCGGGATTGAATTTCCAATGTATTCTCTTTTGCTTTCCCGGCATTTTGCTTCTTTGCTCATGTACTCAATTTTTTATTTTAATATATTCTTAGATTTGGTCATAATTTTGATATGTAAAATAAATAATATCTATTGATTTTTATGTCATTTATTATTTAAATAATTTTAATGATTTAACTTTTAAAATTTTTAATATAATTTTATTTAAAAGTTGATTTAAAAAAAAAATAGAAATACAACCAATAATTAAATTTAACCTAATCAAATAAAATTGATTCCATTTGAATTATGTAAACTATCAATGATTGACTAGTTTTTATAATTTACATACTTTTATATTGCCACTTCTAATTGTCGTATTTGTTCCTAGAAAATAGATGAAGGATATTTTTCAAATAATTGCAGCTTTTTATAAAGATGATCATAAATTTATTTTTGGAAAAAAGTAATTTTTTTAAAATTGTCATAAAAAAAACTTACTAGCATTAAAAATTTATTAAAAGTAGTGCAAAAATAATGGACAAATAAAAATAATGGTTTCGATCTAAAAAATAATGCACTAAAAAAATTATCTCAAATGAAGTCTAAATCCTAAGTTTTAAGTCTAAATCCTAAGTTCTAAATCTCAAAAACAACAGAGCTTCAATCATTATGTAGTATCTGAGCATTAAGTTTTTGAGTTTATTTCGATCCCCCTAATGGTGGAATCAGCCACATTTTTTTCTAACAGTAGAAAAATTGATTAAGAATAAAAAAATTATTTACCGAAAATTTG